GATAAGAAAAAGTTTGATGATGATGATGATGATGATGAGGAGGAGGAGGAGGAGGAGGATAATGATGATGATGATGATGAGGATGAGGATGATGATGATGATGATGAGGAGGAGGAGGATGATGATAATGATGATGATGATGAGGAGGAGGAGGATGATAATGATGATGATGATGATGATGATGATGATGATGAGGAGGAGGAGGAGGAGGAGGAGGATAATGAGGAGGAGGATGATGAGGAGGAGGAGGATGAGGAGGAGGATGATAATGATGATGATGATGATGATAACACTAACCACCAATATTGAAAAAAATGAAACTAACATAACTAAGAAAATCTAAATTGATAATCATACTAACAATAATCAACGATAAAAAACAGCAGTGATTGCGAGGCTGATGGCAGCAATACCAGTGGAAGAAACATCATCCTTATTATCTTTATCTTTAAAAATTATCATGCGTATTATTATTATCATACCATCATTATTATTATCATTATTGCTATCATATTTTTTATTCGCATCATTGTTATTTTCATCATTATTGTTATTATTGCTTGTATGCACTTGTTATTATTATTATTATTATTATTATTATTATTATCATTATTATTATTATTATTATTATCATTATCATTATTATTATTATTATTATTATTATTATCATTATTATAATTATTATTATTATTATTGTCATTATCATTATTATTACTACTATTAACATCATTCTCTTTATCTTTATCATTATTATTATCAATATCATTATTATTATCATTATTATTATTATTATTATTATTATTATTATTATTATTATTATTATCATTATTATCATTAACATTATTATTATTATTATTATCATCATCATCATTACTATAACAATTATTATCATTAATTATTATCATAATTCATTTTTATAACTGTTATTACTAACATTACCATTATTATTCTCATTTTTTTGGGTATCATTATTATTAGTATCATTAATGGCATCATTATTATTATTACTGTATCACTATTACTGTTATAACCGTTACCAAAATCATTATTACTACTATTACAATTACTATTACTGCAATCATTATAATTATTATCATCCTTATTATCATTACCTTTATCATCCTTATTACTATGATCATCACCATTACTATTATTATATTACTATAGCCATATCATTATCATTACTATTTTATTAGTATTATTGTTTTGTTGTTATAATTATTATTATTATTATTACTATTATTATCATTATCATTACCATTATCATTATAATTATCATCATCATCATCATCATCATTATTGTTACTATCATTATCATATTCATTATCATTTTACCATCATCATTATCATTATCACTATTATCATTATTATTATCTTTATTATTATTATTATTATTATTATTGTTATTATTATCATTATTATTATCAATATCATTATTATTATTATTATTATTATCATCATCATCATCACTATTATTATCATTACTATTATAATTCTTAATAATATTGTTATCTCTATTATTATCAGTTGTTGTGGTTATTATTATTATTATCATTATTACTATTATCATTATTATTATTACCATCACCATCATCATCACTATTATTATCATTACTATTATAATTTTTAATAATATTGTTATCTCTATTATTATCAGTTGTTGTTATTACTATTATTTTCCCATTCTCCTTAAAATCATAATTATCACTATCATTATTATCTTTACTATTGTTATTAAAAAACTATTATAACAATTGCAACTAATATTATCTTATTATCATTATGTTGTAAATAATATCGTTATCGGCATTTCTGTTATTATTACCATAATAATCATTATTATTATCATCATCATTATCATTAGTATTTCTTTAATCATTATTACAATTATCATTATTACAATTACCGTCAGTATTACTGTCATTAGTATTATAACCATCGCTATCATCATTATTACGCTTATTATTATTATTATTATTACCATTATAAGTAGTAGTATCTACAGCAGTAGTAGTAGTGCTGTTATAACTGTTATCATTATTACCATTATTATCATTTTTAACATTATTGTTATCATAATAGAAAATGTCATTCGTCATAACTCTTACTATTATCATCATTATTGCTACCAACATTATCTTTACTAATATTACTGCAATCATTATCATTAAAGCTACAATTCATCATTATAAATACTACTCCCATTATTATTATTTCTAAGACTAATTTCATTTTTACTACTGTCATTCAATCTACCATTATAAATAATAATGATAATAATAACTGTAATAATAACAATAATGATAATAATAATAATAATAATAATAACATTAATAAAAATAACAACAATAGTAATGATGATGATGATAATAATGATAATAACAATAACAACAATGATAATGATAATAGTGATAATAATAGTAATAATAATAATTATAACAATAATAATAAAAACAATAACAGCAACAACAACAATGATAATAATAATCATCATAAAATAAAGATAACCATAATATTAACGATAATGATAATAATGACAACTAGAAAAGCACTCAGAGAGTGCAGACTTCCGCCAAGGTGCGTATATAATATATATACTTTGGTTGAGGACAGTGACACCCGGGACACGGCCAAGTCCAAAAATATCATGATTATCTTTCGGATGTACTTACACCGCTGCTGCGTCCAGTCGGTAATTCGGAATGTCACCAAAATTTAATCAGTTCTAAGTTAGTCCTTTCTGACTTGTCCCCAAAATTTCGATAAAATCCGGCCAGCACTTTTTGAGCTACGCTGCTAACAAACAAACAAACAAACAAACCAATGCCGTCAAAAACATAACCTCCTTGGCGGAGGTAATAATAATAACAAGATAATAGCATTAGATAATAGCATAATTATGATAGTGATAATAATCAGTATCATAATAATCATTATCATTATAATTGTTATCATTATTATCGTTATCATTCCCATTATTATTATCATTATTATAATCATCATTATTATCATTATTATTATTATAAATATTATTATTATAACCTCCACAAAGGAGGTTATGTTTTTGATGGCGTTGGTTTGTTTGTTTGTTAGCAGTGTAGCTCAAAAAGTGCTGACCGGATTTCATCGACATTTTGGGGACAAGTCAGAAGGGAGCTCAAAAAGTGCTGACCGGATTTCATCGACATTTTGGGGACAAGTCAGAAAGGGACTAACTTAGAGCTGATTAAATTTTGGTGACATTCCGAATTACCGTCTGGACGCAGCAGCGGTGTAAGTACATTTTTGGACTTGGCCGTGTCCCGGGTGTCACTGTGGATGCAGTAGCGGTGCAAGTACATCCGAGCGATAATTCTGATGTTCTTAATTAGACTTGGCAGCGTCCCGCATGTCACACTCATAAAAAAAACATAATCACCGTCTGGATGCAGCAGCGGTGGAAGTACTTTGGTGTCGTATGTTGTATAAAATATTTTGTATTATTTTATTATATAATGTTAATAAAATGTTAAAAATGGCCCTCATACACAATTAAAAAGCGAAGTTTAGCTTTTTAATTGTGTATGAGGGCTATTTTTTTTTACTTTAACCTCAAATTCTCACTGATATTTATTTTCCCGTAAAAATGTTTGAGACAAAATGGCCCTCATACACAATTAAAAGCAAACTGTTGCCTTTTAATTGTGTATGAGGGCCTTTTTTTCTTTTTTGAAGAAACTCCGAGCTGTCTGATCCTTTCCATCCTCAACCAAAGTATATATATTATATACGCACCTTGTCTGCACTCTCTGAGTGCTTTTCTAGTTATTATTGTTAATGCTACTATTGTCATTATTATCATTATCGTTACTGTCACTATAATCATAGTAAGCGTTATTATTATTATCATTATTATTGCTATTATTATTGTTTTCATTATTATCATCATCATCGTCAGTAAAGGGTTAACGCCGACGGTAGCGCATGGCCGGATCCACCCTTCGCTTCCAGCCACAAGGGTCCCTCATGGTGAGTCTCCAGGCAGGCACTCAGCCAATCTCTAACTCCTCGCGGCAGTTTTCGTCGAGCTGCTCAAGGCACGACCTCCTAGGTCGTCCCACGGGCCTCCTCCACTCAGGATTGTCTCGCAGAGAGATAACCTGATGGGCAAGGTCATCCACAGGGAAACGAGCTAGGTGCCCATATAGCCTGTGTTGGTGATCCCGGATTATGCAAGCAACAGGTCCCACGTCAATCTTACGTCGGTTGGACACATGGTCCTGCCAACTGTACCTCATGATTCGGCGAAGAGACTTGTTGCAAAAGGCATCAAGACGAGACTCCAAGGCACTAGATAGCGTCCAGGTTTAGCATCCACAAAGCAAAACTGATAGTATCAAGGCCTTGAAGACACGTAGCTTGGTCTTTCTGCATAGGTACCGACATCTCCAAATGCTCTTGTTGATCAAGTTCATGGCTCCTGCTGCCAGACCAATCCATCTACTAACTTCTTGGTCTTACAGCCCAGAGATATGGGCTACACTACCAAGGTATGTGACTTCAGTCCTCACCGCAAGCATGGATTGACTAACAGGCTCCCAAAGTCCTGAATCTTGGTCTTGGTCCATGAGACCTCTAGACCAAGGGATTGGTCTAAAGGTTGATTCACTGCTAAATACAGCAAGAGTCGCCCCCAGTGACTTCAGGGACTCAGATAGGATAGCAACATCATCGGCAAAGTCAAAGTCTGAGACCTTGATATTGCCCAGTGTTGCTCTCCACTGACTTTGGATAGTAGTTCTGCCCATCATCCAGTCCATGCAGGTGATGAAAAGTGTTGGTGCAAAGACACAGCCTTGCCTCACCCCTGAATTAACAGAGAAGAAGTTCGACAGGCCTCCATCACACTTTACAGCACTTTCAGTACCAGTATATAGGCTTGCTTATTAGGCCAATAATCCGTGTCAGAACTCTCCTAAGTCTCAGAATCCCCCATAGTGATTCTCTTTGATCCGAGTCAA